CATCCGGAAGAGCCTTGGAATACAGCCTTTGCTTCTCCAGATTGAGAAGTCACAGCTGCGATGGTTTGGATATATATTGCGAATGTCTTCAGAAAGGAAGGCTGAGCAACCGTTTCTTGCCAAAGCGACCTGCAGAGGACCCGGGATACGGCCAAGATTAACTTGGTGCAAATATATGGAAGTAGTCTGTTCCAGACTACATTTGTCTTTTGCCGAAGCTCAGACTCCGACACAGGATCGGGAACGTTGGAAGCTCTCTCTGACGTGTCTGCCTCCGCGACCGAAAAGAGAGGCGGCTACGGAAGATGAAGTTTTCTCAAATTATGCACTACGGTAATCTCAGGTTCTTCATAAAGTAATTCTCTAAAGTTCGACCTTCGATGCCAATTACAGGCTGACTTTCCATTTTCAACTGAGAAGTTTGAAATTTTGTTTTTGCTTTTTTTACAATGTAACGTGCATTTATGTATGGTTATTCTGCATTATCTAAAGGAGCGTAAGACTAATTAATCGAAATCAGTCTCTCTGACTTTGTTGAAGGAAACATCCATAAAAGCTGATTCACTTTGCATCCTTCAGGAACATCGGGCTAAAAAACTTAATAATTATGGATTACATGGTATTGTTTCTTGCTGTTAGTGGTTAATAAGCTAATAAATACCCTGCGTCGACAAGCCGTCAGACATCCTTTTTAAAAGTGTGTAGGTTTTGGAAATTTCATTTGCTTGCACTTGTACATAACGCAATTTTGCGGTCATAGCAATGCAGACACTTTGGAATGATTTCCAAATTAGTTGATTAACCATTACGAAATACCCGTGAAATTGATCACCGACTAAAAGTTACAAATAGCAACAACTGCTTATTTGCTGTTAGTTCAGTATTTACAAAATTCAAAAAGCAGGTGCAAGAAGAATACAAACTGAAATCCTCTGATCGCACAATTTTTAACATATGCCTCATGTGTGCCGTAAACAAAAATCCCATTCTGTTATTTATGAAAAAGAGCTCTGTGGTAGTCTGCCTTTGCGGTTAGGACCGCCTCAAGGCCACACATTTATGTACTTTATTCCAGACTTCACGAGTCGCATCTAGGCTGAAAAATGTTTTTCTTCTACAATCGGCATTGTTCAGCGATCAGCCTATGATTGTTGGATCAGAGGCGGCACCGGAATCAACAATATTTATTTTTTTAGGATCTACGATCTGCAACAAAACGGAAAAAAAATGAATCAGTCCCGAATTTGTTTCTAAATCAAATAGATTTCTGTAAATCAACTATGGCAAAAACATAACAGTAAAACTGCAACAAGTGAAAAACGCGTGACTGACAAAGGCAGACTATTCATGCATCTTCATTGAACGTCTGGGGCACCTAAGTTTCGTGCTGATCGTCATCGCTTTTGTCCAAAACTGCCGGCTAGAAATAGGAAAATCCTAAAGTCATCAAAGTGTGCTAGAAGGAGGAGGGCTGATTTTCAGCCGTGTCGACAGGTGAGGTACTCGAAATGAACAGAGCACCGTGAACCGGACAGTACTTCATGGCGACATCCGTACTAGACACACTCGAAAGCTCTGGTCTGGTAGTTGTGACGCCGCTGATTTCCTCGTAACTTCTAGGTCTCACGTTGTTACTGTTGTCACGTGAACCGGGGTCTTTCACCGAGTAAAGAACGGATCCAACAAACACCAATACGTAGGAGCCGAAGTACAGTCCATGGAACTGAAACACAAAAATATTAACGTCGTGTTAAGAAACCAGATGAAAGCTGACAGTAGAACACAACAGGTTATAAAACAACAAAATCTAACATGCATAACCACTAATCTCAAACTAACAAGCACTTTGTCAAACAGTATGACGACGGAGGTTTACGACCAATCGCCAGTTAGAATTCATTGTGGATGAACTAATTACCATATCATTATTATCTTAATTTAGTCACAGACGAATGATTAGCGGGAGACCGGTAAGTCTCATTACAGATTTGTCCTCTGGTAATCGCGTGCGTAAAACCGCCTATTAGCGGCTACCATTCGAACGACTGCATGGCGAAGGCAGGCAACACTCACTGTTCACCTGAATGGAAGTCATTCGGTAACAAGTGCTAACGGTCAATCTAATATCGGCTCTGGAATCCCGCAGAGAGAAAAAAAATATCAAGGACAACTGAACTGGTTGTTGAACTTCGAGGCGGAGAAGGGTGAAATAACGAAGACACTATGAGGTTGAGTGAAAGAAAGAATCGGGAGGCAGTATTATATGCCAGACTTGCCGATTCACGTAGGATAGTTATATGGTGACGGCATGAGGCATATGAGTGAACCAGAGAAATTCAGTTTCGTCAAAGGTTAGCACCGAGCCCGCTACTGCGTTCAATGGCGACAATCGTGAAAATTAAAGACACGGAGGAAACATTCAATGTTGTGCGTGCTTTTCCACGATATAGTAAGCACAGCACCTGAACTACGTAAGAGTTATGGTCCACACTGAGGAATACGTCCGATTTAACTTACCCCTTCTGTTAATCAAACCCCGTTGCTTACGTGTTTCCAGTACGAGTATAAAGTAGTACGCCAATGGGTCTGAAGAGTAATTTCTCTTAGTTTCGTTTACAGGATGCACACACAAATACGATTTCCATATTAATTATTAATGCGAAGTAATATAATCAAGTATAAGTAGCATGAGAAATTGGAAATAAAAAAAATGTTTACGAAGTGCTCTCGTCGCTTCAATCAAATACTGAAAAGGATTATATATAGAGTATATTATTATATACTGTATCAAAGACTAGCAGCATGTTACGGATAACAAGCCTACGGACAGTGGCATATTTGCAGTTGTCCAAACACGCCCTGCCTTGTGATGCGGTTTTGCATCAAGGCACCGCAGGTGCTCAAATACCGTGGAGCTGTAGCCTGCTCAAATGGGGCCCTAGGCCGCTAAAAGCAATAGGACGGTGAGTACGCCGCTTCAATCCGGTATCAAAAACTAAAAAGGAAAGAATATTTAATTTATTTCTTTTCTGTCGACCTTGTGAAATTAAAACCTGTTCCTGAACAGTGGCTTCTTTCCTCTAGTCATAAACAACTGGACAACAGGCTGAATTGTAGTTTATTTCGCATGAAGATTAAAATCGATCTTCTAAAATTGTTCCATCCTGTTCAAATCTTAGGGACACGATTGTAATCTCTTCGGAAACGAAACTTTTCATTTTCTCTTCATGTTCCAAAACAGCAGTTTCAGCAACTTTTACTTCTTCTATGAGTTCTTTATTTAATAATTCATCTTCAAATGAATCAATTAATTCAACGATATCATTTTCATTTACTTTAATTTTAGTTGTTCAACAAGTTTCACTATTTATGTACATCATATAATGACGTGTGGGTAGCTGCTGGCCATCTGGCGCATTTCCGGTTTGTGGAAAGGGGAACGAGCCTCAGACACAAAAGTTAGCTACTACGAATAAGCAGTTAGAGGCTACCAGCGCGTGGCTGGGTTCGAGCTGGACAAGTTCGTTCCTCAGAATGAAACTTACACAGTGTAATGATGAGGCGAAAGCAGCCCAGGCCTTTGAAAAAAAATGCCGCAAGTTTCGCTGCTGCGGTTAAAAAATTCCGCCAATTGTGGTTATCCTTGGCAATTTAACAGCGCCCCCCATCATTAATTCCATGAAAACATGGCTGCTAGAATTGGCCCTATTAAGTGTAAGAAAAAACCCACATTCCAACCGTTACGAAACCCTTCTATTCTGGCAAGACGCGAGAAAGAGAAAAACCAGCTATAAATGCGAATGTACAGATGAATGGGCTGGCAACAAAAGCGACCGCATTCTGAATATCGTCATAACATTACGTTAAGGTACTCCACTAACAACATAGCTGACTGCTTGCAGGTTCCGTAGTTTCGCCATGTGAACAGAAGTCCAGATGATCAGTAAACAGTATGATCTCGAAAATGGTCATACGGGTTAGAAGAAAACGGCGAAGAATCAAACAGTAGTACGAAATTGTGAAGAACGATAGGATGGTGCGTAAGGTGACAGAGAGCTACTTCGCGGTCAGAGAACCTGCAAGAAATTGACTGTACTGTGGATCGCTCTTAAAACATACTCTACTGTAACAGGAATACAGGAATAACAGCCCGTTAAATAAGCTGTCTTCGGTGTCTACAGTACGTAAAATACAATACGTTATCTATTTGTTATTATCTATAGTTAACTCATGCGAAACATGGCATAAATTTCAGAACAACTGGACCTACCAAGTGATAATGCGTCTACTCGGCGAACATGTGAGGAACGCTAAATTTCTGAGAAGTCAAAATTTCACAACATAAAAGAGGATCACTCGCAACTGACAGAACATTTTCAACATAACGTGGCAAACCTCAAATCTGAAGAGAATATATGTATGCATTCAGCGAATGTCGTGCTGCGATACTGGCATACTTGGGTATGCTCAAACCGTGAGGGTAGAAAGTATGTATTACGAATGAGCAAACATATTAAGAGACTTCTGAATTTCTTATCTTTCATCCGGCTTGCCTTCGTTTGTGGACGCGCTAAACACGCAAACTGACATTCGTTCAATCGCTATGTTCCGTGTTCTCTGCTTTTATCCCTGGTCCAGTAGTTCGAACATCAAGTCGTACTTTGGTGTGTTGAAACGACCGATGGGATTCCCACTATGTTCATTTGAGTAAAATTCAAAACTCTTACGTCCATGGGTGATCCCTTCTGGCAGTCAGGTATCCGACCTAATTCGTATTGGCGTCGTAGATGGCAGAGAGCATGTCCATTATTCTACTATTCCGCTGCAGAATTTGTGCATACAGTATGTGATTTCTGAGGGAGACTTTGCTTCCACATTCTCAGTTTCGTTGTTCAGAAATACGCAACCGAAAGCTCGCTGTTGTCGCCTGTTATGCATACAGCATCGTAGCTCGTAATGGAGAAAACGGTTGAGTCGCTTAAAATTTCCTCTTGACATCAGTAGTTCATCGTCAGGTAATTATGTTTTAATCTCGTTAAAACAGGGTATGTGCCAGATCTTTCTTCGGATGATTTCAGTGTAATCAACCTAGAATCTAATTAAGAAATGAAATTATTCTCAGAAATTGTAACCGCGATGCAAGAACGAAATTAACACATGGAAACCTTTGGCAAAATGAGCTGCTAAAAATTTTTTAAAAAATCTTCAATCCATGAGGTATAGAATATCGCCTCATTAGACGACTGTACAGGAGAAAACAGCCGATGAGCGCCATCTCCAAATTAACCAACTAAGATACATAAAGTCGCAAAAGAAACATTGAGTTTTACCTTTTCGTTGAACAAAAAGTAGCTTATGAAAAACGTGTAGAAATCTGCGCTAAGAATGGACAGGTTAAACATAGTCGCCCCGGCTTGTTCGATCATCACGCACACCAATGAGTAAAATATGAACATTGACAACGCGAATCCGGCGTACAACAATGCTAAATTGGTCGAGACAATGGTCAAAAGAAAGCTAAACTTTAGACGGACTTACAAATTTGAAATTTGTTCCAAGGAACTACTGCCAGGAAGTTGTGTTCGACAATGGCTCTGAAAGGAAAATAATTTACAACTACATAACAACACTGAAAGAAAATTAATCATCTAGATGAAGGGTTAAATTGATGTAAATAATAAAATATTTCCACACGTAGTAAAAAACTAGACTTTAATTCCAAAATCACGCTTTGCAGTCATTCGCCTAGCGTGAAATCTACCAAATCAACCAAACCACAAGAATAAAAACCTGAACCTATACAACCTAAGCGCGGATGAATATTTTTTATCGAAAAAGTACGATAAATGAAAAATCTTTCTGTGCACAAGTAAGCAGATGCCTAAAATAAATACAAAAAGAGAATTAATAATCCGTCTTCCAAGAAAGTAAATAGAACCGATGATCGACCATGTTAAAAAAGGTGTAATCGCGTACAGTAAACGCGCTATGAACCATGGCGAGAGAAAAATTATATTCTCCATTTAATTACATTTTAAATACAACATAGAACGACGTAATTATATAGAAGGCAAAACAGTTTGTCTATTGAGTGGTAGTGGGTAGTGGCCTATCCAGTGACAGACGTATTGCGGTGTGGAATATTAATAATCGATTTTATGCCGCATTTCGGCATAACTATCAACGAATGAAGGGCAGCTACAGAGGCATCCCAACTTACGTAAATTCAAACTTGTGCAAATTATCCTAAAAGAAATAGGAAAAACACTGTTATAAAAATTTCGCTTAACCCGTCTATGTTACTCGCAAGCCAATTAACAGCGGCCTTCCACATATAGTTGACTAAACAACAAAACTAGAAGTAAATGAACATATCAAAGAATTGATTGACTTAGAGAAATGAATTATGAAATGAAGAAATCATTGAACTGCAATCAGCAAAAGTTGGTGAAGCCTGAAGCCTTAGAACTAAAAGCGAAACCAAAGCTTTTAGAGAAGAAAGAGATGACAATCACGTTGAATAAGATTTCAAACACGATTGGAGAGGATGGGTCGTTACGTCCCTGTTTTCAAACGTTAAAGAAACAGATCACGCTTCAGGACGTCATCGGGTGATGTAAACAGCAGACAGAATCCACTGTTTAATCATTTCTTGATGATTTCGTAAAGAAGATCTAAGGAAGAAATTAAAAGTTTTTTATTTTTCTACTCTATGGCACTGCTAGTACTGTATTGTATTACTTGTCATGAAACTTTACTGAGGTAAATGCTGTATACAATATAAACTTGCATCACATTTACCTACTTATTTACACGGTGCTGTCGTTCAGGCCTATGAGGGTTATCGTAAAAGTGTTCAATGTCCAAAGTTTGTGGCAGATCTAAGTTTTTTACTTCTTTTTTCTCTTAAGAACTGCCATCTGTATATTCACTGCAACTCCGAAGCTTCCTCTGCGTATCAAAAATATCACAAACACGCTCAGCGTGTCGTCTACGCATAGCCTCTAAAGCGTTTTACGATTCTACGCCTGACGTGCAGTGAGTCTAGAACACTATCTTTTGTGTTAACCCATGATCCCAAGGTACGAAACATGATTGAGTCCAGGATTCATAATTATCGATTTAACCCTAACTTGTGTATGCAATCCTGCGAATGAAACAAACGGAAACAACTGGAAATGTATTATTAATATGTACACGTACTGTAAACACGTAAGCAACAATGTGTGACTAACTGGAAGAGGTGAGCTACATTTGAATTACGTAAAATTCGTTTGCGGAACGTAACTCTCTCGTAAAATCAGGTCTGTTTGTACTGTATTTAATCATGCCCATAATTACTGAGTTACTGTAAACGTAAGTCAACATAAATTAATCATTAACGACGTTTTACTCACAGTTGAATTCCTGATATAAAGCTGCCGAAAATGCCAAGCATCCCTAAGTATTCGCTTCGCTTGAACGACTTGAGCATCCACTCCTGAAAAACATTGCTGACGCCATAGAGCGCAGCGCCAGCTAAACAGAATATGTCGCCTAGGAGTCGGTTTGAACCTAAATAGCAAAGATGTAAACGACGGTGCAATAACATAAAATAACAAAAATATATGAACATGCACTAAACCGTTAGAAAAAAATTGGCATATGAACTAGGCATTCATACGCGAATTACGTAGACAAAAACTGAACTCGGTATTATGGATTTACTAGCAAAGTGCCTGTTTTCAATACAGTCGGCAAGAATAACCATCTGTTGCCAACGCTGCGGATTTTCCAATCGCCCTCCTTTCCCATCCGGACTACGGGCAGGCAACGGCGGAGTACAACTTAGCCACCTACCCTTCTACTGACGTACAGGTTATCAAAGGCCACGAAAGTTTTTGGAGAACTGAGACAGGCTGCGAAGTCGGCGATCAGAACCTGCTGGCTGTCTTCAGGCGATCAGTGGCGTAGCAGCACAACGACGAAGAAGATCGACTAAACGACGAAGAATATACCAATCAGCAACGGAGTCACTACCCGTTCTGAACGGAGGAGTCAAACCGCGATACAATGATAGCACTTCAGAAAAGGATACTCGAGAACCACATTGCCATTGGGTGCTTGCGATCAGAAATTGGAATATATCCTTACTCAGAGGGAAAGAGCAACAGTTAGTTGATGAGGCCGCAAGTAACAGCTGGACATAGTCCGACTCTCAGTAACGAAGTGCCAAGGTTCTAGAATTCTCAACCTCTGAAGGTGGAAGCCATCCCATATAGATGTTGTTATCACGACACGAGCTCAGCCCAGTGTTGATGCACTGA